TTGCTTTGAGATTCGCAGTCTTTCAGTCCAAACGTTGAGGTAAAAGTTCCTCTCACGTCACCTACACCACCTCTGGTGGTTTCTGTTGGTACTGTATGTATTTTTTAACGTATTTATTTATTTTTCTGACTTTCTCACATGAACTGGTCCGACTGTCAAACCAAGTCAGAGGACGCAGTAACCACGCAGCACCAACAGGAGGGATCAGTGTCATGTCAACAATCTTCTTCACGGACGTTAGCAACCTAGCATTGTTATCGTGTAGTTAACCGTGGTCAGTCTTTGACCGTAACAACAGAGCTGTGATCGTCACCTGATCCTGCGGCTCAGCTGTTACAGATCACTGGTTACTGACTGTTTTCTACAGAAACAGTCAGTCAGTCTGGATCATCAACCTCGTTAATGTTGTTTTAACATCTGGAAGAAGGTTTTTCTCCTTGATCTATATCCACTGTGACTGGTCACATGACCAGGACATGAAACCTTCTGGACCCACGTCCACTTCCCTAACCTCCAAGCCTGGAGAACATCTGAAGGGTCAAAACAGCTTGTCAAGAGCTGTGATGACAGTTGGTTTAGTCAGGTCAGATGCCGGGGGAGGGGGGAGGTCAGGGGGGTCGGGGTTATATCTGCATCCTTTCGCCTGCAGTCACCCCAACCAGCAAAACAATCAACCACCCAATTACTGTCAAAAGGGTCTGTCACCTCCATCGCTCCTCATAAGGTGTGAAAAGGATATGAAATTGTGTGTTTTACAGTTTTTACACCTCCTGTTAATAAAGCATTATTTTAACAATAAAAAAATATTCTTCTTCTTCTTCTTCTTCTTCTACCTCCTCCTCTTCTTGGTAATGAACTGACATTTGCACAGTTCCTTTTTATTAATTAATTTGTTGATTGTTTCCTAATTATGAAATTGTGTGTTTTACAGTTTTTACACCTCCTGTTAATAAAGCATTATTTTAACAATAAAAAAATATTCTTCTTCTTCTTCTTCTTCTTCTACCTCCTCCTCTTCTTGGTAATGAACTGACATTTGCACAGTTCCTTTTTATTAATTAATTTGTTGATTGTTTCCTAATTATGAAATTGTGTGTTTTACAGTTTTTACACCTCCTGTTAATAAAGCATTATTTTAACAATAAAAAAATATTCTTCTTCTTCTTCTTCTTCTTCTACCTCCTCCTCTTCTTGGTAATGAACTGACATTTGCACAGTTCCTTTTTTTTAATTAATTTGTTGATTGTTTCCTAATTATGAAATTGTGTGTTTTACAGTTTTTACACCTCCTGTTAATAAAGCATTATTTTAACAATAAAAAAATATTCTTCTTCTTCTTCTTCTTCTTCTTCTTCTTCTTCTTCTTCTTCTTCTTCTTCTTCAGATGGATTATTCGTCCTCTATCATTTCACGTCCATTCAGGTGTCTCTGATGGTCCACAGATGTCCACCACCTTCAGTTGAACCAGATACTCTATGTTCTAATGTATTTATTTTTCCCCACGTTACGTAAGTGTCATCAGTGAAAGTCCACAGGTGGAGGAGGTCTGGAGCCTCGGTCTGCAACCAGGAAGGATCAAATCC